CCGGCACTCGGATAGTTATCTTGGGCATAGCATTTCACCAAATCACCTCATTCTTAGGGGCACACGTGAGGAACACAAATGCGAACAAGCCAGAATGGTCCCCTGGACAATATGCAACTGAAAACTCACACCCCAGAAGTGACTCGAACCCATACTCCCAGAAGCAACGCAACTGGTATGTACAAGACGCCTTAATCCACTTGACCATCACGACCGGACAAAATGAGGTGATAGCCGAGGCTATTTGAACCACCCCACCGCCGGCACTCGGATAGTTATCTTGGGCATAGCATTTTACCAAATCACCTCATTCTTAGGGGCACACGTGAGGAACACAAATGCGAACAAGCCAGAATGGTCCCCTGGACAATATGCAATGAGGTGATTTGAGAATGAAGAACTAAGAATGAGGTGATTTGGTAAAATGCTATGCCCAAGATAACTATCCGAGTGCCGGCGGTGGGGTGGTTCAAATAGCCTCGGCTATCACCTCATTTTGTCCGGTCGTGATGGTCAAGTGGATTAAGGCGTCTTGTACATACCAGTTGCGTTGCTTCTGGGAGTATGGGTTCGAGTCACTTCTGGGGTGTGAGTTTTCAGTTATATATATATATATATATATATATATATATATATATATATATATATATCATATAATATATATATATATATATATATATATATATATATATATATATATATATATATATATATATATATATATATATATATATATATATATATATATATATATGTGTCGTACCTAGTAGCCAGAATGCACTTCTCGGCCTACTATGCAGGGCCCGATTTGCCTAATAAGCCAAGTTTTCCTAAATTAATATATTTTCTCTAATTTTTTTCTTATGAAATGATAAAGCTACCCATTTCATTATGTATGAGGTCAATTTTATTTTATTGGAGTTAAAATTAACGTAGATATATGACCGAACCTAACCAACCCTACCTAACCTAACCTAACCTATCTTTATAGGTTAGGTTCGGTTAGGTAGCAGAAAAGTTAGGTTAGGTTAGGTTAGGTAGGTTAGGTAGTCGAAAAAACATTAATTCATGAAAACTTGGCTTATTAGGCAAATCGGGCCTTGCATAGTAGGCTGATAAGTGTGTTCTGGCTACTAGGTACGACATATATATATATATATATATATATATGTCGTACCTAGTAGCCAGAACGCACTTTTGAGCCTACTATGCAAGGCCCGATTTGCCTAATAAGCCAAGTTTTCCTGAATTAATATATTTTCTCTAATTTTTTTCTTATGAAATAATAAAGCTACCCATTTCATTATGTATGAGGTCAATTTTTTTTTATTGGAGTTAAAATTAATGTAGATATATGACCGAACCTAACCAACCCTACCTAACCTAACCTAACCTATCTTTATGGCTGAGGTTAGGGTAGGTAGCCGAAAAAGTTAGGTTAGGTTAGGTTAGGTAGGTTAGGTAGTCGAAAAACAATTAATTCACGAAAACTTGGCTTATTAGGCAAATCGGGCCTTGCATAGTAGGCCAAGAAGTGCGTTCTGGCTACTAGGTACGACATATATATGTATATATATATATATATATATATATATATATATATATATATATATATATATATATATATATATATATATATATATATATATATATATATATATATATATATATATATATATGTCGTACCTAGTAGCCAGAACTCACTTCTCAGCCTACTATGCAAGGCCCGATTTGCCTAATAAGCCAAGTTTTCATGAATTAATTGTTTTTCGACAACCTAACCTACCTAACTTAACCTAACCTAACTTTTTCGGCTACCTAACCTAACCTAACCTATAAAGATAGGTTAGGTTAGGTTAGGTAGGGTTGGTTAGTTCGGTCATATATCTACGTTAATTTTAACTCCAATAAAAAAAATTTGACCTCATACATAATGAAATGGGTAGCTTTATCATTTCATAAGAAAAAAAATAGAGAAAATATATTAATTCATGAAAACTTGGCTTATTAGGCAAATCGGGCCTTGCATAGTAGGCTGAGAAGTGAGTTCTGGCTACTAGGTACGACATATATATATATATATATATATATATATATATATATATATATATATATATATATACATATATATATATATATATATATACATATATATATATATATATATATATATATATATATATATATATATATATATATATATATATATATATATATATATATGTATGTATATATATATCTTCTGATTTTTTGTCTGTACAGACAAAAATCAGAAGATACAATTGACACAATTGTGTGTGTGTAAACTAAAGTCTTTGAAAATGTAATAAGTTATTACGAAACGCGTTCAAGTGTCGCGTCAGACTAGAAATAAAAATGAATTTTGGAGAATTGATTTTTCAATTACCATCGACAGTGAAAAGAAACATAAGAAATATTGAGAAAATTCGTGATGTTGCGGCGTTGTGTGTGTGATGTTGAGGCGTTGTGTGTATGTGTGATGTTGGGACATTGTGTGTGTGATGTTGGGGGCGTTCTGTGTGTGATGTTGGGGTGTTGTGTGTGTGATGTTCAGGCGTTCTGTGTGTGTGATGTTGGAGCGTTGTGTGTGTGATGTTGGAGCGTTGTGTGTGTGATGTTGGAGCATTGTGTGTGTGATGTTGGGACGTTGTGTGTATGTGATATTGGGGGCGTTGTGTGTGTGATATTGGGGCGTTGTGTGTGTGATGTTGGAGCATTGTGTGTGTGATGTTGGAGCATTGTGTGTGTGATGTTGGAGCATTGTGTGTGTGATGTTGGAGCATTGTGTGTGTGATGTTGGAGCATTGTGTGTGTGATGTTGGAGCGTTGTGTGTGATGTTGGAGCGTTGTGTGTGTGATGTTGGAGCGTTGTGTGTGTGATGTTGGAGCGTTGTGTGTGTGATGTTGGAGCGTTGTGTGTGTGATGTTGGAGCATTGTGTGTGTGATGTTGGGATGTTGTGTGTATGTGATATTGGGGGCGTTGTGTGTATGTGATGTTGGAGCATTGTGTGTGTGATGTTGGGGCGTTGTGTGTGTGATGTTGGAGCATTGTGTGTGTGATGTTGGAGCGTTGTGTGTATGTGATGTTGGAGCATTGTGTGTGTGATGTTGGGGCGTTGTGTGTGTGTGATGTTGGAGCATTGTGTGTGTGATGTTGGACGTTGTGTGTGTGATGTTGGAGCATTGTGTGTGTGATGTTGGGGCGTTGTGTGTGTGTGATGTTGGAGCATTGTGTGTGTGATGTTGGAGCATTGTGTGTGTGATGTTGGAGCATTGTGTGTGTGATGTTGGAGCATTGTGTGTGTGATGTTGGAGCGTTGTGTGTGTGATGTTGGATCGTTGTGTGTGTGTGATGTTGGAGCGTTCTGTGTGTGATGTTGGAGCGTTGTGTGTGTGATGTTGGAGCGTTGTGTGTGTGTGATGTTGGAGCGTTGTGTGTGTGTGATGTTGGGGCGTTGTGTGTGTGATGTTGGAGCGTTCTGTGTGTGTGATGTTGGGACGTTGTGTGTGTGTGATGTTGGGACGTTGTGTGTGTGTGATGTTGGAGCGTTCTGTGTGTGATGTTGGAGCATTGTGTGTGTGATGTTGGGACGTTGTGTGTGTGTGATGTTGGGACGTTGTGTGTGTGTGATGTTGGGGCGTTGTGTGTGTGATGTTGGAGCATTGTGTGTGTGATGTTGGGACGTTGTGTGTGTGTGATGTTGGGGTGCTCAGTGTTGACCTACTTTACCCACGCCCGGGTGCCTGGGGGTTATACATAATAGTTGTAATCTCTTCAGGAGAGGAAGTTACTTTGTTTAATGAACATAAGAACAAGGGAAACTGTAGAAGGTCCATTGTCTCAAAAGTCTCTGGTATCAAAACATAGACCTGATCATATTCTATAAAACAAAGAAGACGACCGACCTCCTCATTAAACACAGCCCGAAACCGACGGAGAACCCTTTACAGCAGTCAGACGTGGTATATATGTACACTTGCCCCCATGAAGGATGTAGCCTTCAATCAAAGTACATAGGTATGACGTCAACCAAGCTGACGAGGCGTTTGACCTGTCATCTTCAATCAGGTGCCTCTTAAAATCATTTGAGACAAGCCCATGACATCACCCTAACAAGAGAAATGTTGAATAAAAACACTTGTATTACAGACAAAACCCAGGATTTAAGAAGGTTGCAAATTCTTGAAGCAATCCACATAAAAATAAAACAACCCACCATGTATACCAAAATTAAGGAACTATTCACTCTGCCCACAATGAGAGTAAGAACAAGACCAGAATGTGAAGATGCCAACAAAGGAAACACTGTTGAAAATGACACGCTCCTTACACCTGACTCTTTCTTCAATGGTTCCAATGTAAAAATTAGCAAATAACACTCCTAGGGGGGGGGGAGCCCATTGCAATTCCATCCATCTATCTGGTAACATTGATATATATTACCAGTCCGCAAGATAACATGTATCTACAGATAGACGAAGTAGAAATGGGCTCCCCTCTAGGAATGTTATTTGCTAATTTTTACACGGGAACCATCGAAGAAAGAGTCTTCAGTAGTAGGAATAAACCAATTGTATACTGCGTTCATCATATGAACGTAAGAATGACGGTATCTGCAGAAGGCCTATTTGCCCATACGAAGGCAGCACCTATTTAGAGAGAGAGAGAGAGAGAGAGAGAGAGAGAGAGAGAGAGAGAGAGAGAGAGAGAGAGAGAGAGAGAGAGAGAGAGAGAGAGAGAGAGAGAGAGAGAGAGAGAGAGAGAGAGAGAGAGAGAGAGAGAGAGAGAGAGAGAGAGAGAGAGAGAGAGAGAGAGAGAGAGAGAGAGGGAGAGAGAGAGAGAGGGGGAGAGGGGGAGAGAGAGAGAGAGAGAGAGACCCGGACGGCCGGGTACCCCAACAGGTATTGGATCAAGACCTAAACTTGTTTCTATTACTTCGAGTAAAGTCTGTGGATTAATCTTAGTGTATTTCTTCAGGTATTATCCTGGAAGCCACAAGCAACAAAGACCCGGCCACCCTGCCCAGTCTACCATATAGAGGAAGTGGACTCGAACTGACAATTGTCTGCAGCCTCACCGATACCCTCGCCCTCGACCAGTGCTGCCATCTGGCTCGGCAACTGTGTCCTCCCTCCAAGAGGCTGCGGTACCCTTCTCTGAGCTTCTGCCACACTGACGTATCAAGTACGTATAGTTTCATCAGTACCAACGTATCAAACTGATACGGGGATGTTTAATTATGTAAACTTTTAGAGTTCATTCAAGGAACTAATTAGACTTATAATATCTAATTGCCCGCATTTATTTGATAATGTATGGTTCTTCCAATGTTACATACAGTCATATAGCATTGCTTAGCCACATTAGGCTTATCGTATTCGTGGTGATGAAATTTGTGATAAAAAAAGATATAGCCAAATAATGTAAGCGATTTGTCACATCGATATTTACAGAAGATATCATAAATAATATTCATTCAAATTCTATGCGATAATATTTGCAAAATTCACATTTTGAAATACTTGACAATAATATTGGTCACCGTGAGTTGGTTAAACATCGTTACGTTTAACCACATACTCCCTAACTCAATCTCCACGCATCCTGCCCACATACTCCCTAACTCAATCTCCACGCATCCTGCCCACATACTCCCTAACCCAGTCACCACGCATCCTGCCCACATACTCCCTAACTCAATCTCCACGCATCCTGCCCACATACTCCCTAACCCAGTCACCACGCATCCTGCCCACATACTCCCTAACTCAATCTCCACGCATCCTGCCCACATACTCCCTAACCCAGTCACCACGCATCCTGCCCACATACTCCCTAACTCAATCTCCACGCATCCTGCCCACATACTCCCTAACCCAGTCACCACGCATCCTACCCACATACTCCCTAACTCAATCTCCACGCATCCTGCCCACATACTCCTAACCCAGTCACCACGCATCCTGCCCACATACTCCCTAACTCAATCTCCACGCATCCTGCCCACATACTCCCTAACCCAGTCACCACGCATCCTACCCACATACTCCCTAACTCAATCTCCACGCATCCTGCCCACATACTCCCTAACTCAGTCTCCACGCATCCTGCCCACATACTCCCTAACCCAGTCTCCACGCATCCTGCCCACATACTCCCTAACTCAGTCTCCACGCATCCTACCCACATACTCCCTAACTCAATCTCCACGCATCCTGCCCACATACTCCCTAACTCAGTCTCCACGCATCCTGCCCACATACTCCCTAACCCAGTCTCCACGCATCCTGCCCACATACTCCCTAACTCAGTCTCCACGCATCCTGCCCACATACTCCCTAACCCAGTCTCCACGCATCCTGCCCACATACTCCCTAACTCAGTCTCCACCATCCTGCCCACATACTCCCTAACCCAGTCTCCACCATCCTGCCCACATACTCCCTAACTCAGTCTCCACGCATCCTACCCACATACTCCCTAACTCAGTCTCCACGCATCCTACCCACATACTCCCTAACTCAGTCTCCACGCATCCTGCCCACATACTCCCTAACCCAGTCTCCACGCATCCTGCCCACATACTCCCTAACTGTCTCCACGCATCCTGCTCACATACTCCCTAACCCAGTCTCCACGCATCCTGCCCACATACTCCCTAACCCAGTCTCCACGCATCCTGCTCACATACTCCCTAACTGTCTCCACGCATCCTGCTCACATACTCCCTAACTCAGTCTCCACGCATCCTGCCCACATACTCCCTAACTCAGTCTCCACGCATCCTGCCCACATACTCCCTAACTCAGTCTCCACGCATCCTGCCCACATACTCCCTAACTCAGTCTCCACGCATCCTGCTCACATACTCCCTAACTCAGTCTCCACGCATCCTACCCACATACTCCCTAACTCAGTCACCACGCATCCTGCCCACATACTCCCTAACCCAGTCTCCATGCATCCTGCCCACATACTCCCTAACTCAGTCTCCACGCATCCTACCCACATACTCCCTAACTCAGTCTCCACGCATCCTGCCCACATACTCCCTAACCCAGTCTCCACACATCCTACCCACATACTCCCTAACCCAGTCTCCACGCATCCTGCCCACATACTCCCTAACCCAGTCTCCACGCATCCTGCCCACATACTCCCTAACTGTCTCCACGCATCCTGCTCACATACTCCCTAACCCAGTCTCCACGCATCCTGCCCACATACTCCCTAACCCAGTCTCCACGCATCCTGCTCACATACTCCCTCACTGTCTCCACGCATCCTGCTCACATACTCCCTAACTCAGTCTCCACGCATCCTGCCCACATACTCCCTAACTCAGTCTCCACGCATCCTGCCCACATACTCCCTAACTCAGTCACCACGCATCCTGCCCACATACTCCCTAACTCAGTCTCCACGCATCCTGCTCACATACTCCCTAACTCAGTCTCCACGCATCCTACCCACATACTCCCTAACTCAGTCACCACGCATCCTGCCCACATACTCCCTAACCCAGTCTCCATGCATCCTGCCCACATACTCCCTAACTCAGTCTCCACGCATCCTACCCACATACTCCCTAACTCAGTCTCCACGCATCCTGCCCACATACTCCCTAACCCAGTCTCCACACATCCTACCCACATACTCCCTAACCCAGTCTCCACGCATCCTGCCCACATACTCCCTAACCCAGTCTCCACACATCCTACCCACATACTCCCTAACCCAGTCTCCACGCATCCTGCCCACATACTCCCTAACTCAGTCACCACGCATCCTGCCCACATACTCCCTAACTCAGTCTCCACACATCCTGCCCACATACTCCCTAACTCAGTCTCCACGCATCCTGCCCACATACTCCCTAACTCAGTCTCCACGCATCCTGCCCACATACTCCCTAACCCAGTCTCCACACATCCTACCCACATACTCCCTAACCCAGTCTCCACGCATCCTGCCCACATACTCCCTAACTCAGTCTCCACGCATCCTGCCCACATACTCCCTAACCCAGTCTCCACGCATCCTGCCCACATACTCCCTAACCCAGTCTCCACGCATCCTGCCCACATACTCCCTAACCCAGTCTCCACGCATCCTGCTCACATACTCCCTAACTCAGTCTCCACGCATCCTGCCCACATACTCCCTAACCCAGTCTCCACGCATCCTGCCCACATACTCCCTAACCCAGTCTCCACGCATCCTGCTCACATACTCCCTAACTCAGTCTCCACGCATCCTGCCCACATACTCCCTAACCCAGTCTCCACGCATCCTGCCCACATACTCCCTAACCCAGTCTCCACGCATCCTGCCCACATACTCCCTAACTCAGTCTCCACGCATCCTGCCCACATACTCCCTAACTCAGTCTCCACGCATCCTGCCCACATACTCCCTAACTGTCTCCACGCATCCTGCTCACATACTCCCTAACCCAGTCTCCACGCATCCTGCCCACATACTCCCTAACCCAGTCTCCACGCATCCTGCTCACATACTCCCTAACTGTCTCCACGCATCCTGCTCACATACTCCCTAACTCAGTCTCCACGCATCCTGCCCACATACTCCCTAACTCAGTCTCCACCATCCTGCCCACATACTCCCTAACCCAGTCTCCACGCATCCTGCCCACATACTCCCTAACCCAGTCTCCACGCATCCTGCCCACATACTCCCTAACTCAGTCTCCACGCATCCTGCCCACATACTCCCTAACTCAGTCTCCACCATCCTGCCCACATACTCCGTAACCCAGTCTCCACGCATCCTACCCACATACTCCCTAACTCAGTCTCCACGCATCCTACCCACATACTCCCTAACTCAGTCTCCACCATCCTGCCCACATACTCCGTAACCCAGTCTCCACGCATCCTACCCACATACTCCCTAACTCAGTCACCACGCATCCTGCTCACATACTCCCTAACCCAGTCTCCACGCATCCTGCTCACATACTCCCTAACCCAGTCTCCACGCATCCTGCCCACATACTCCCTAACCCAGTCTCCACGCATCCTGCCCACATACTCCGTAACCCAGTCTCCACGCATCCTGCTCACATACTCCCTAACCCAGTCTCCACGCATCCTGCCCACATACTCCCTAACCCAGTCTCCACGCATCCTGCCCACATACTCCGTAACCCAGTCTCCACGCATCCTGCCCACATACTCCCTAACCCAGTCTCCACGCATCCTGCCCACATACTCCCTAACCCAGTCTCCACGCATCCTGCCCACATACTCCCTAACCCAGTCTCCACGCATCCTGCTCACATACTCCCTAACTGTCTCCATCCGTCCTGCCCACATACTCCCTAACTAAATTTGTTTTTAAATGTTGCCCCGAATGGCGAGTTTATTGGGCAGCGCCACTCATCCTGTGAGTGGACACACCGTCATAGCAGCATGTACAACACTCCCCAATAGGAAGTAAACCTGCTGGGTTGTTCATCCTGTCACTTATACCCAGACACAGCTGGGACTTGCTTAACTGTATCAAGTGAACAGCTAATCAAACAAGAAGATAAACATTCGTCACCCCTAAAAATTTTACGTTATCATGCGGGTGCAAAATGGGGGAATCTTTTAAGAACAGTATCTATACTTGACAAATTGTGTTTTCTTTACTCAAACAATGTGGGGTTTATTATTCTACACATATTTCTAATGACTCTTAGATGTCCACACTCTCTCAGGTAGTGGTCAAGGCGGTGTCCATCACTCTGACTGCAGATTCTGTAACTCCTCTGCTCAACTTTTGTTTCCATTCCGAATCTCCATGGATATTTGTACCCAAGACGAATTCTTGCTATTACTGATTCTCTCCTGTGGCCACCTCCTCTTCGTCCATATTTATTGGGATTACCAACTGCAACCACTTTGTACCAGCATACAGATTCACTGATTTGTTCTTCTATCCTCCTTTCCTCAATAACCTTGTCACGGTGATATTGCCTAATGATACCTCTAATTTGTAGAGGAGTCTTGAGTATGAAGTATTCAATGTGGTCTCCTTCAGCGCCTTCAGCTGCCAGCACATCTGCTCCTTAATTTCCACAGATTCCAACATGGGAGGGGATCCACAGAAATTTGACGATTCTCCCTTGATCGGTTAGTACTCTCACAGCTCTCTTGAGCTCAGCGACTATTGCAAGATTTTCTGCCTGATTATTAGTAAGGCTTTGTAGCGTTGCTTTAGAATCAGTGCAGATCATTGTACCGTTAGTGCTTCGTTAAAGGAAAAATAACGCCATAACAATGGCGGTTAGCTCTGCTTGTGTTGAAGAGGCATAGTTCTCAATAATATTTTGCCTTAAGCATTTGTTAAATCCAAACAACTACACAAACTAACTACACTATTAAATTGTCCTATTATGTGGATTTTGCGACACTTCGTCGTAGGCTCAGTGGTGTTTTCAAATTTTTCCCAAATTTTTTTATCCCATACGAGGCAGCTCCTATATATATATATATCCACCCTATCTCATTCATATATATGTCCAATATACGCTTGAAATAATCAAGGGACCCCACTTCCAATATAAGTTTACAATAAATAGCTTACATTCTAGTTTTATACACAACAGCAATTATGAAACGCTGTAGCTAGATATCGTACTATAATCCATAAGTAGTTACCGTACACAGACGCCGTCTTGTAGAATCGGCTCTTATTAACAATGTACCCAACATGAACTTGAGTCCTGGCTTTGTTGCTGTGGACTCTTCCCTTTCACAGTATATACTCAAATGCTCTAATCTTTCTAACAAACGTGACTTAACATAAGCTTTCCCCCTTCCATTTCTTTCTTTCTCGTTCCCTTTCTTTCTCTCTTCTCCCTTTTTCTGTTCATTGTCTTCTACGCTCCCTTGCTATCCTCTTCTTTTTCCTATTACTATCTCCTTCGGTGGTTATAATAGGAGCTGCCTTGTATGGGCCAATAGGCCTGCTGCAGTTCTCATTACTACTATCCCCTACACCTGACTTTCCTCCTCAGCTCTCTCTTGCCTATTTAATGCCTGTCCCTACCTGTCCTCATCAGAACTGTCTTGTGTTGATCGACAGTTGTGTAGTTGTACACCAGACGTCACGTCCTTCACTCACCAGACCACTCCACAAGTGATCATTTGAAATTTCATCATGGAATTCCAATTGACTTATAATCGATCCAGCAATGCTGCTCAGAGTAGGAAAAGACCATCGATAATGGACACCAGTTCCGAAAGTGACGGCGAGTGGCATCACGTGAATAAGGCTAACAGGACAAGCCACTCCATGACGACCCATCGCCCATTAATCTCTCCAGCTTCTCCAGCTTCTCCAGCTCTCCCAGCGCCTCAGACTAGATCTACGTTTCCGGTCTTCAAAGTGCAGCACACGGAAGGTAAGTCTTCCTACGCTACTGTAGTGGACCTGGAAAAAGAGTACCCCCAGCTCCAGGTCAGGGCAAAACCTAATCTCAAAGGAGAATACATTCTGAGGCCAAAAGACGAGTCGGCCGCTACGATTCTAAAAAATTACGCAAAATGTGAGGAACTGAAACCAGAGGATAAAATAAGTAAAGTCATTGTCCTCCACTATCCCTTGCATATGGCCCTTGGCCATCTCGAAAAGCTGAGCTATGTGGTGTCAGCAGAGAGATGCCAAGTACGAACAAAACAAGAAACTCGACAAGTCCTTCTCACAGTAAGAGGACGGATCCCGGAAAAACTTGACCTTGGAATCTGGGGGGTGTTCCAACACAGGCCTTACACCCCAGAACCCCTAAGATGCTTTAGATGTCAGAGATTTGGGCATCACAAAGATGGCTGCCAACGCCCAGTGAGGTGCGGAGTCTGCAGCCAGCCCCATGATACAAAAACATGTATTGATAAATTCAAGGCAAACCACCCTGTTCAGGCAAAATGCCCAAATTGTTCCAAGGCACATCATGCCTGGAACTTGAAATGCCCTGAAAGGCTCAAAAGGCTTCAAACGAACCCCACCACGCCAACAGCGGAGCCGAAACCCCCACCAAAACGAATACCAGCTCCCATGCCCACTAAAACCGCGTGGGGTCTACCCATTCAGGAAGAGGGGGCACACGGCCCTTCACCATCGGCCATGGTGAAGGTTGAGAAGACAGTACAGGACAAAAAGAAAGATGGAGGACACAAGACTCAGGTTCAAAGCAGTCGGCCTCCCATTTCATCCAGCAAGCACACTGGGGCCAATAGGAGTAGCAATTCCAGTGCCAAAGTTACCACCGAGAAGGGTCTAAAAGCCACTAGGCCCTCAACCTGCACAACATTAAATAGTGCTCCCACTGAACTGAACGCTCTCTGGCCAATGCTCAAAACTTTGGTCACTGAGTTAATCGAAAGTCTGCTGTCTTCACATGGAATCAAGCAAACCACAGAGACTCGGAAGACAATTGAGCACAAGCTCAAAAAATTCGAAGATGTAATATCCACACCGTCAAGACAGCAGGGCAAGAGGCACCCCCATAAAAAGCAGATAGAGTCCAGGTCGTCGGAAAGCGACATTGATGAGGCAATTTCAGGACCACTAAGAACCTATACCCCAATTGCAACTTCCATGGCGTGTTCATCAGACTCCATGGATACCACGGAATTATCAGCACATTCCAAGAACCTAGAATTCTAAAGATCCTGCAATGGAATGCGCAAGGACTGCGCACTAAATTGCAACACTTGCAATGCATAGCAGCAACCAAAGGCATAGACATCCTGATACTACAGGAGAGCTTGCTTCGAGCCGGATTAGAACCTAAAATCTCAGGCTATCGAGGCTTCTTCCTTCCATGGATCAATGGGCAATCCAGGGGATGTGCAATCTATGTAAAAAGTGACCTGATCTCCAAATCCATAACCAGCCCACCCAATTGTGGAGCAGGGACAGAGGTAATGGGAGTCACCATTGAGCTAAGACACGACAAACTTGAAGTGTTCAATGTGTACAGGTCTCCACAAGCCGAAATGGATCTCTCTGTGTTATTTGGACACGCGACAACAACAAACACAATCATTTGTGGAGATTTTAATGCCCATCATCGATTGGCACTGGGCTCGAACAAAACAAATGAAGCCGGCATACACATTACACATCTACTGGACCAGCTTCCAGAAATACAAATCCTAAACAAGAATGAACCTACCCACATCCAAGGAGGCAGATTAGACCTAACCTTCGTTTCAGCCTCCCTAAGAGATGCAGCAACATGGTCAGTTGAGCCCACACTCACAAGCGACCACTATGGGGTCCAAATTGATCTTCAGTTAGACCTACCCACCCCACCTCCGCCTCCATCTGAAGCCTGGAACTTTGCTTTAGCAAACTGGGACCGATTTCAAAACCTCATTTCAGAGTGGCAAAGAAACTATGATCTTCCCGAAGACATTAATCAGGCAGAACAAGAATTTGTCAAAGCGATTCAAAGTGCAGCCAACCACTCAATCCCACTGAAAAAACAGTCCACCGGACACCATAAAGATCATTGGTACTATTGCGAACGTGTCAAAGAACTCAACCATAGACTCAATAGAACAAGAAAGCTATACAAAAAGCAGCCAAGTGACCGCAACAGGATCTTACTTTGTGAGGTCAAGGAACATGTACATCGAGAGACCAGACAAATAAAAGAACAAAAGTGGCTAGAATGGTGTTCACACCTGAATGAACACACCTCTCTCGGGGAGATGTGGCAGCAAATTCACCGGGCCAAAGGGAATAAAACACCTAAAGCTCCACACCCCAAAGATCCTCAACAGGAAGCCGAAGTACTGGCAACCAGGTTTGCAGAGAGAGCAGCCAGCAATCAACTTCCACCAGATGTATTAGCAGTACAGACCGGACTAGAGGAAGAAAGGTGGCACAGAATCCTTACAGCATGTGAAGAAGTCTCTGACACTAATGCCCCCTTCACACTGGATGAGCTCAATCGGGCTAAGAAAAACTCCAAGGATACATCCCCTGGAGCCGACAAAATAACCTATAAAATGATTAGAAACCTCGGCCCAGAGGGAGACGCTGCATACCTAAGGTTAATTAATTTAGCCTGGACTTCTCAAACTAGACCTTCTGCTTGGAATAGAGCAGACATAGTGCCGATCCCAAAACCCAAAGATCCAGCTAATCCCAGGCCCATCTCTCTCCAAAGCTGTGCAGCCAAGACGGCTGACAGAATGGCACTCAACAGACTGGAGTGGAAAATGCCTAAACTGCACCATGATATGTATGCCTATAGAAGAGGGGTTGGCACAGTGGAATGTATTACAACTCTGTTAGCCCACTTGAATGACAGACCAGGAATGCTGATATTCCTGGACCTCGAAAAAGCCTTTGAACTGGCTAGCGCCCCAGCTATTCTCTGCTGCCTCATTGACAAAGAGGTCAGAGGCAACCTGCTCTCCTGGACCAAAAACTGTCTCATAAACAGAGAAGCAAGAGTAAAACTTCATGGCACAGTCTCTGAGTACAAAAGACATGAAAATGGTACACCGCAAGGAGGTATTCTTAGCCCTCTTCTCTTCAACTGTTTAATGGAAAGAATAATGAGGTTGAAACTCCCACATCACTGCAGGCTGCTAAACTACGCGGACGACTTTGTCATCATCATAAAAGGAAGGGATGCGGCGCGCCTTGCACCCAAATGCTTAGACTGCATCAGTAAAGAGGCAAAACAGATTGGGATCAAACTCAACCCCTCAAAGTCAAAGGCCATGCCCATAAAAATAGCGAAGCCCAACATCCAACTCACAGTACAGGGTCAACCAATAGAATGGGTCGACACCTATCAGTATCTAGGAATCATCCTGGACACACACATGAATTTTAATGCTGAGGTCACATACTTGAGAGAGCGAACTGCGGCCCGGACGGCAATCCTCAGGTCGCTAACCTCCCTTTCTGGAGGAGCCAATCTGCAAGTCCTTCGCACATACTATGTACAGGCAGTCAGATCAGTGATCGATTATGCCGCACCTGCACTCACAAATCTATCACACCAACAGTGGAAAAAGCTTGAAGTTGCCCAAAACAATGCTATGAGAGCGGCACTGGGAGCCCCCATGTGGACCAGGCTTGAAACTCTTAGACTGGAGACGGGTTT